AATGGAATGGGAAAAGATATTTGCAAATGACATATCGGACAAAGGGCTAGTATCCAAAATCTATAAAGAACTCACCAAACTCCACACCCGAAAAACAAATAACCCAATGAAGAAATGGGCAGAAAACATGAAAAGACACTTCTCTAAAGCAGACATCCGGATGGCCAACAGGCACATGAAAAGATGCTCAACGTCACTTCTTATCAGGGAAATACAAATCAAAACCACACTCAGATATAAACTGCATCTTTATCCATTCATCAGTTGATGGACATGTACGCTCTTTCCATAATGGCTATACTAACCGTTTATTAGATATTTCGTTTGCAAATATTTTCTTCCATTCCACAGGTTGCCTTTTAGTTTTGTTGATTGTTTACTTCATGATACAGACATTTTTTTTTATCTTGACAAAGTCCCAATAGTTCATTTTTTTGTTTCCCTTGTCTCAGGAGATGTATTCAGTAAAAAGTTGTTAAGGTCTATGTCAAAGAGGTTACTGCCTGTTTTCTTCTGTAGGATTTTGATGGTTTCCTGTCTCACATTTAGGCCTTTCATCCACATTGAATTTATTTTTCTGTATGGTGTAAAAATGTGGTCCAGTTTCCTTCTTCTGCATGTTGCCTTCCAGTTTTCCCAATGCCATTTGTTGAAGAGACTGTCTTTTTTTCCCATTTTGTGCTTTGTCAAAGATTAGTTGACTATATAGCTTTGGGTTCATTAATGGGTTTCCTATTCTGTTCCATTGATCTATGTGTCTGTTTTTATACCAGTGCCATACTGTCTTAGTCACTAAAGCTCTGTAATAGAACTTGAATTCCAGAACTGTGATGCATCCACCTTTTCTGTTTCAAGTTTTCCTTGGCTATTCAGATGTTTTGTGATTCAATAGAAAATAGAGAGTTGTTTGTTATAGTTCTGTGAAAAATGCTTGTGGTATTTTGATAGGAATTGCACTGAATTGTGGGGAAATAGGCTCTACTTACATAAATGGGTTAGAAAAAGCTTAGGGTGAAAAGCCACCACCAAGAGGTGAAAGCACCCAAGGTTAGCTAGCGAGATATTGTAATGGTATCATGAGTAACTTGTTATATCACCTGCAGGAAATTACTTTCCAGCTGGTGTCAATGTACCTTGATCACAAACACCACTTGCCCCCATACTCTTCGCTTCTTACACATGCAAGTTAATGAATACTATGTGATAGTTTTATTCATGTTCACCATGTGTGTAAGATCTTGAGAGCTCAATAGATAAGGAGAGGAAACCCCTGTTCAGGGCTCTTGTCTCCTCCTGGACATTAGCCTCTCTCGTATTCAATTCTGCATCCACTCTCTTGCTGGACAACAGAGAACTCCAGACTCATAGTCTGTGACAGATGGTGACCTCGATGAGACAGAAGACAACATGAAGCCTATGTGACTAGAAAAAAATCCGACATGTCAGATGGTGACATGATAGAACACAAGTCAACGTGATAGAAGGTAGCATGATTAGAAGAAAAGCCAACATGACTAAAAAGTCAACGTGACAGAAGGGTGTGATCAGAAGCTGACGTGGGTAAGAAGTCAATGTGGTTAAGAAGCCGACATAACTCAAGGACTGCAAAACACCACAGAATGATCAGCGCTCTAAAAAAGAAAAAGGGCACTGGAATACAATCTCTCCCAATGAGGGAAGAGGAAAGCAAAACTATATTAGGATTTGCTGCTGTGGAACTTTTGAGATAATCGTTATGGTAGACTCCCTATCCTTAGAACAGAAATAATACATTCATTTAGCACTCCTTAAATTATTAATGATTATCCAGCAACACTGCCCTTGGTTTTCCAAGAAAGTAACCTTTGACCTAGACATTTGGGAATTAATAGCTAAAACACTAAAGATACGCCATATGGAAGGTGCTAATGTTCTGCATGAGGTTATACTTACATGGTCTATTGTCCCTACAACCATTCTCCCCCTGAGTGTGGATGCTGCTTGTGAAGATATAGTCCTACCCAAAGTAAAAAAAAAAATTCCAAGGAATCTAAGCATCCTTCTTGTCAGCCAGACCCTTCAGCACCCCTATATCCAGAGAACGCCAACTTCCTTCTTTGTCATTGGGAAGAATCTAACCTTTTAAAGGAACAAAAGATTCCTTCTGAGAACATCCTTAACCCGATGCTACAACATATTAAGTGTACCCTTATGGAGTTTACAGATGCCTCAGGGAAAACTCACAAGGCTTCTGCACTTTGGAAAACTAGAAAAAAACTGGGAACATATATTATACACTAGACCGAGCTCTAACCAACATTCAGAACTGCAAGCTATATTATTTGCTATAGAAAACCTTTCCCAACCCTTAAATATTGTCTCTGAGATGTCAAGGAGCAAAGACCACCCACTTCAGATTTCCCCACCAGGTTTCAGGTGAAAATGAACCATGGGGAACAAATTGTCTTAAGTGGACCCAAGTAAAACATATTCAGTGTTTAAGCTAATTTAAGTGTGTTGGCTTGAGATAGACCTATCAACATTAAATTTAAAAACTGTATTCTACCTCGGTTTGCTGAAGGTCAAATAAGCTCATGTTATCTCTGTTCCAACTTCTTAGCAAAAGGATGACTTAAAGTAATGGTTAACTTTGTTTATCTCATAGTTGTCATGGGTAATTTTTAAGATAGCTTTCAAAGGCTTTAGTAACCTAAAAAGGTTTGCTTGTATAATAAATTGGGATTGAATTTGTTGGACATCTCAGTCTTTTCTAAATAGGATGGGATATAAAGCATGGATTACTAAGCAAGGTTTATCTGCTTTTGGCTTATTGCAGAGAAACTAAGGATATTTGGGTCTGATGGTAAACATGCTTTGTGCTTTATAACTTTCTGAGGTTTCTTTTCTTAAGCAAATTTCCCAAGATTTAAATTGTAAATGAAGTCGTTTTGAACAATTAGGCTTCTTCGGTATGTTAAGTTACTCTGGAACACTGTCCAACAAATAATAAGCCTTAGGTTACATTTGAGTAAATGTTATAACTATTCTAGAGATTATATGCAATTCTTAGTTTTAATATTTTTTGGTATAAGGTCATCACTTGATATTCTGATTATTGAAGTGTTATGTGCCACAGAAATAACTGAATTTTCTTGTCAATTGCATTAGCTCTTTTAATCATGTTCACTTTTGAGTCTTTTTGTCATAGTTTTGTGACTCTTGTTGGAAGACTTTTTCACCTCTATAACTTGTAGTAGACAGATGATCCTCTCTACTCAAGGAGGCTCTGTTTCCCCTGAACTCTGTCTTTCTCTTTTGTAACTCCCCTATACCTACTCCAACTAAGCAATGGTGAGCCATAGGTAGGAACATCTCTACACTCCTATTCAGCAGGAAGAAATTATAGAAGAGAAGACCATCCACCCTCAGCAATCTTAAAGATTTTAAGGGTAAAAATTGTTCAGGGGAAATGATGTGGGAAACAATGGCAGAAGGAAATGGCAGATAAAATTAAATTTCTTTATAATCCACAATGTCAAGCAATTGTAGAATGAGCACACGATAAATTTAAAAATATGTTAAAAACAAAAAAGGGGGTATTACCCATGACTGTCTACATTACAACCTCAACTACTCCTCGATTGAGATATGATCATCTTAAATTTTTAAATCTTGACCCTCAAGGACTAACCGCAACTGAAATACATTCTTTAAAATCAGATAAAATCTCTCATCCTATGGTGTTGGTTCAAACTTCTCACCTGGGGTAAAGGATATGCTTGTGTTCTTTCAGATTCCTGACCTCTGTGGATTCCTTCTTCGTTGGTGAAACCATATCATGTCATGAAGGAGACCCCCAGAATATCTTACAATCAACCAGGACTTCCAGAGAATGATGCTGAATGAGTGACAACTGCTCCCATTTTTCAAGATGGAAGAAACCTCTTCATTGATTCCTCATCCTGAAGCCACTCCACAAACACAAGTTCTTGCCTCTGATATAACATGGGGAAGCCTTAAATCTACCAGACTGGCATATTCTTACAACACAATGGTATTGCACATACCCTGATTTGTATCTGATGACCATGATCTCCATCATTGACAGGAATTTAATGCAGAATCACCTTTCAAACCACCCGACAGCAAGAGACAAATCAGGAGCTCGCCATGACAGACCTCGCATGTAAACTTAAGAAGACAAAGAAAAACAAAAAAGGGGAACTGTGGGGAGATAGGTTCTACTTACATAAATGGGTTAGAAAAAAGCTTAGAGTGGAAAGCCGCCACAATGGGGGAGGGGGGAACTGCCCAAGGTTAGCTAGGGAGATATTGTAATGGGATCACGAGTAACTGGTTATATCACCTACAGGAAATTACTTTCCAGATGGCACCAATATACTTTCATCACAAACACCACTTGCCCCACAGACCCTTTGCTTCTTAAATACACAAGTTATTGATTGCCATCTGATAGTTTTCTTCACATTCACCATGTGTGTAAGATCTTGAGAGCTCAGTAAAAAAGGAGATGAAACCCCTGTTTGGGGCTCTTGTCTCCTCCTGGACATTAGCCTCTCTTGTATTCAATTCTGCATCTGCTCTTTTGCTGGACAAGAGAGAACGCCAGACTCATAGTCTGTGACACTGAATGTGTATATTGCTTTGGGTAGTATATACATTTTAACAATATTTGTTCTTCCAATGCAAGAGCATGGAATGTTTCTCCATTTGTTTGTGTCATCTTCAATTTCATTCATAAGGTTTTTATAGTTTCCAGAGTACAGATATTTTACCTCTTTCATAAGGTTTTTATACTTTCCAGAGTACAGATATTTTATCTCTTTGTTTAGGTTTATTCCCATGTATTTAATTGGTTTTGGTGCAATTTGACATGGGATTAATTCCTTTATTTCTCTTTCTACTGCTTCAAATTGGTGTTTGGAAAATGCAGCCAATTTCTGCACATTGATTTTATATCCTGCACTGTTACTGAATACGTGTATCAGTCCTAGCTATATTTTTGCTGGAGTATTTTCAGCTTTTCTATATAGACTATCATGTTGTCTATGAATACTCAAAGTCTGGCTTCTTTCTTACTGATTTGGATGCCTTTTATTTCTTTTTGTTGTCTGACTGCTGTGGGAGGGACTTCCAGTATCATGCTAAATAACAGCCATGTGAGTGGACATCCCTGTCATGTTCCTGACCTTAGGGGAAAAGCTCTGTTTTTCCCCATTGATGATGATATTAGATGTGGGTTTATCATATATGGCTTTTATAATGTTGATTTGTGTTCTTTCTATCCCTACCCTCTTGAGGGTTTTTATCAAGAATTGATGCTGTATTTTGACAAATTCTTTTCCTGCATCTAGTGAGAGGATCATATGGTTCTTATACTTTCTTTTATTAATGTGGTGTAAGAGACTGTCTCTTTTCCATTGGATATTCTTTCCTGCATTGTCAAAGATTAGTTGGCCATACTTTTGTGGGTCCAATTCTGGAGTCTCTTGCATAGGGGCATTTGTACCCCAATGTTTATAGCAGCACATTCAACAATAGCCAAATTATGGAAAGAGACTAAATGTCCATCCACTGACGAATGGATAAAGAAATTGTGGTTTTGGGGTGCCTGGGTGGCTCAGTCGGTTAAGCAGCCGACTT